TAGTCTTTGTCCCAAGAGGTTTAACTAGAGCCCTGGAATATGAATAGCAGCTGTGAGAGGGAAGAACTAGAACATTCCTTATTTAGGTAATTTCCTAATAACCTCCGAGTTCCCTAAAAATAGTGCAGGATAAAATGCTCCACTGTACCCGACTGGCGCTGGGCTGGGAAATGGGAGTTGCTGGATAATCTAAAACTCACTCCATTGTGTCTCACTCTGATACTAACATCAGGAAAGCGTTTCCTATTTTTAGCTTAATTTGCTGAAGTGTCTTAAAGTTTCTGGATAAGTAGATATCCATTATTTCGAATAGAACATGCATACCAATCTCTTAAATAGTAGTGAAAATCTTCACCTTCCTCTAGATCAACATTTAATACATAGTTAGAGTAAAAGTAAAAAATACAGGTCTAAAAATATTTAATCAAGATATAACATTTAAAAAGTCTATATTTAACTTCCTCTACCAAATTATCCAGGTAACTTATATTGTATATAGAGTGGCTGTTTTAGGCTGAATCTGTTCCAAGGTCTCTTTACTGTCTCTGGTCTTTTCCAGTTCATTTCCATCCCAGCGCCTAAGGCAATTGCTTCCCTGTGGAGGATCTTCCCTCAGCTTTGGGTAGGGTTCTGCCTCCAGTGCCATACCATCTCATCATCTTTCAGGTGCCGTTATGTTGTTCTTTCTTGATACCACCAGAAGTACTGCATAATCTGGATGTTGTTTGTTCTTGCTTCTAAGCATCATGTAGTGATAACAATGCTGGAGTAAGTCTGCATCAATGCCAGCAGCAGCATCTGGTGGACAAACACTGTGCTGGGGACACTGGTCACAAACAGGTTTACTCAAGATGCAAACTAAGACCTTTGTCCTCTTGCTTTTCATGTGCACTGGGGGCAATGAGTTAACAGTCTCATATTTGATGTGCACCAAGAATAACTGGTAATCAGAAAGCTGCAGAAGAGTAAAAAATATCTGATCTGTGGGAGAAAAGTTTAAAGGCCAAAAGCAGAACATGAAATTTGAGCTGTTTGTGTGGCCACAACGTTTTTACACAGCTATACAAAGGACAGGCCTGGTCTTGATGGGGTAAGGTCACCTCAACAAGGAAGGAAAGAAATAAGACAAACTAGGGGATGAGAAGAAGCTATGTTGGGGTTAAATGAGGTTTTTTTGCAAGCTTCAGCCTCTTGTAGTGTCGATTTGGATAAGGAAAGAAAACAAGAAAGGAGCTGATGCTGTCAGCATAATGTTCGGCCCTGTAAGAAATGCTTTCTGCTGGAGAAAAGTGTAACTTTCTGGTTAATGCTTAGAGCTGTACAGATTTTGGGGGTGATGTGATCTGATCTGTTTAATAGAAAGAACAGGAGTAATTAACCTCGTGATTCAAGCACCAGGGGACCAGGGGCTGTAGACAGTACCCCAGTCACCCAAACAGTGCTGAGCGATGCAGTGGCTTTCAGGGATAGCTGAGGGTATGTCTTTCAGTCTGGGCTAGTCCCTTTGCTTCTCCTCTCCCTGACTGCAGCTTGTCATACGTTAGGCATGCCGTTTCTGTGCATGTACTGGTTCACTTGTTCTTAATTTCCTGGAAAAACAGGACCACTTTGGTTACCAGTACACCTACAACCCTTTTCTTATCAGAACCTGACCTGGTATATATTCATATTTCAATTTTAAACCAAACTCACTCCAACAAAACGCCTGTCTCTTTTAGCACTCAAGCAGTACTTCTTCCTCACTTGAATATGAAGATTCAAGTGATCTCTAATTTATTTCTGTTTTTCAGGAGCTTAAAACCCTGCCTTTGTATATTGACATGTCTTTGGTGCTTCAGGACAGGGTGTGAATCTACTTTCCTTCTACATTAACCATACTTACTGATATCTTTTGCAGATTTCAAATGTTTATTTCACTAACTGCATCTCATCCTGTTTTACAGGAGCTTTTAAAGAACGTGTAAGGTTCCTGTTCATTAAAAAAAAAAGCTTTCACCCAAACATAAGATCCCTTCCTGGGCAGGGCATCCGTTTCATTTGATGCCTGCGAAGTAGTGACTCTGAGCTCACCACTCGCTGTGTGTGTTCATCCTCTGTGCAGGAGTCAAAGGCAATACCTGGGGCTGTGGAGTGGGTGGCTGTAATGTCAAAAGGAGATGCTGCTTTAGTTCCAGCCCCATGTCACCGCTCTGCCTGTTATCCCTGAAACACTGTCCACAGCTGGTCCCGGTGCTTGAGGCCACATGAAGAAACATGTTTCATTGCGACTTGTTCCAGTGGCTGAGCTGTACTTGAGTCAGTGTAGACTTTCCACTTCAGCTCTTATTTTCTGCGTTCATTACCTCTGAGATGGGAAATGTTTCTGCTGTGTTTTGCTAATCCCATGTTCCTTTGTACAGATAAAATGTCTGTGCTGTATTGCCTTCCGCTGAAGGATGCTGCCTTGCTCAGGTGGGACTGCCATCCTGCATGGGTTGTGTTCTGAATTACTGCTCGTGGCAAGGTGGTTTTAGCTCAGTAGCAACAAGTTTTTTTAACAAGGGATCATTCATGAGATTCAAGTGGGAAAAGTAATGTCATTTTTTTACATGGCATTTCTGTTTTCACTTCTGATTTGACCCTCTCCTGTGTCTCTTCTTAGACCTTAATGTTCACTTGTCAGGCTCTGAGACAGTGTATTTCAACCTTGCTTGAAATCCTCTGTTTCAAAGTTAGAGTAAACTGCAGAGAATTTGGTGACAAATTCCTTTAACAGTCAAAAAGGGAAACTAATCTCTCATCCTGAAAGGACAGTAAGTACTGGGTGTGCAACCCCCTTCACACTTGAAGAAATCTTAAACCTGTTAAAAGTGGGGGAAGCAGGGTACAAATGTGGGCAATAAGTGAAGAGGACAGCCAAAGCAAGAGTCTAGATGTGGGAGCTTGAACATAGTCTGTCCAGTGCGGTACAGGGCTGGGCTGACAGGTGGGCCTGGAGACTTTGGAAGTAAATAAAGGTCAGTCGGATCAGCCTGTGTGGGGGGGAAAGGGCTGTCAGGTCTGATTAAGGAGGCTTTATCTTCACTTTTCTGTAAATATTTGTTCTGCTTTCAACTTACTGCCATTTTCACAGGCACTGCTCTGAAGAGTTCATCTTAGGACATGCCCTCTTGGGTCGGATTCCTGCACTCACAGGCAGCTCTGGAGTAGGGGTTTAGCCCAGGGAAATAAAGTCTGAAGGACATGTGTTTCAAGCCACAGGCTTTGGAATGCCTTTAACTCCTCGTAGCAGGTTTTAGATCTGTATTTAGACACAGCAGCATTTTCAATGTCACGGTGATACCATCAGTTAGCAAACAATGACTTTTCTTCTGAATTTCCCAGGGGAGAAGTTATAATTTATGGGTCAGGTTTAGCTTCCCTTGTACATGTGTGCTTATCCTGTCTCATCCCTGAGTACAGGCTGCTTCTGCTCAGCTGCAGCTGATGCACCAGCTCCCTGAGCAGCAGTTGCAATGTGCAGTTCAGAGGGGAGCAGGAGGTGAGGCAGCCCTCAAAGGGGGAATGGTGCGGGAGAGGCAGTGCCGGAGGTGAAGCTGAAGAAGTTTTGCAGAGCTGCAGGGAGAAGCAAAATCTGATATGAAGTTTGTATGGTAAAATTCCTGGGTGGTGTCTGTATGTTCCCAGTATGCTCTCAGTGAAGGCAAATACCAAAGCCAACAGTGCGTGCCAAATTTCTGACCCAGAAGACTTTTTTTTTCCTCTCTTTTTTTTAAAAAAATAAGCTGTAGTGTAATATGAGCACACAAGCAGGTCATACCAATTAGGCATCTAGTAGAATTTATAATTAGTGTTTATCTGTTCACAAACACAAATGCTGCTGAGAAACACCGAAAAAAAATCCTCAAACAAGAAATCTAGAGCCTAGGTTGTCAGAGGAGGGGATTTTGCAGGTATTTAAAGATGAAGTGGCATCCTTTCCACTGTCCGAATCTTGGCAATGCAGGTTGGAAGGCATCTCTGCCTGTCTTCAGTGCCGCATGCTGGGATTTTTATTAAAAAGCTTTGATCTTGAACGCAGCGGTAGAGGCAAGGAAGGCCGGTACCCTCTGCAGTTCTGTTTCATCAGTACATGATTCTGAACAGAAGGTGACGGCCCTTTTGCCATTGCCCAGTGTCTCCAGAGAAGGACTCGTGTGCAGTAACAAATGCACGGTGCCAGACCTCCAGCATCCCATGTCATCACACCGGTAGAGGCTGCTAGGTAGGAGTGAGCAACTCTTGGAAATCTCCTGGAGTGCTGGATGCTAGAGGAGAGTTTCTGCAGTGTAATATATCAGGGTCACAGAACTCTCTTTTCTTCATGGGAAGTAATTTTGAAATATCTGACACTGTCTTACTAGGGCTCTTTGTTTTCACACCACAGACAAACTGTGTTATGGTGGAGTAGCATAAAGGTAAAATCAGTGACTGGCACGATATAATCCTTCTTTAAAAAAAGAAAAAGTGAAATACCCCTGCCCCTCAAACTTCAAAAGTTTAAGTGAGAGGAGATAAAATAAAATCAACTTCCTATTGTTTAAAACAAACAAACCCCCAAATGAAGTGCCAAACAGCGTCAGCCCTGCCCTCTAGTGCTGCTAGCAAGCAAGAGGTTTTGGTGTGGTTCACAGCAATGTTGTCCAAGGCTGGTCTCACCTAATTACCTGATTATTTTTTTAAGGCATATTAGAATGGGGGTTTTTTGTATTTGTGGGTGGGGTTTTTTTTTCTTTTTTGTTTGTTTTGGTTTTTTCTTGGTTGATTTTTTTATGGGGATGGTACTGTTTATAGTGTCTTCATGGGGTTTTGCTGCAAGACAAACAAAATCAGCCTTGCACTTTGGTGTATGATGGGCATTATAAAAAAACCTGAAGTTTCTTGAGCACTGAAGATAATCACAATGACAAAAATTTTTAAAAGCTGCAAAAGACTATGAGTGTTTATGTGATTCATGCTTAACTGAAGCTTCCCCTCCACAGTATCGAAGGCGAGTATGTCCCTGTGGCAGGTGATGAAGTCACCTACAAGATGTGCACCATCCCTCCGAAGAACGAGAAGCTGCAGGCGGTGGAGGTGGTGATCACCCATCTGGCTCCTGGAACCAAGCACGAGACCTGGTCGGGGCACGTCGTCAGCTCCTGAGGCGTCCCAGGGGGAGCGCGGCTGCTGCCTGCGTGGTCCCTGCTCAACAACTGGCTGCAGGGCACCTGTCCTAAGAATATTCTACATATTGTGTGGAAGGAAATACTGCATTGTCAATAAAGCAGAAGCAGGCCAAAATTACCATTTTTACAACTGGCCTGGAGGGGGAAAAAAAAAAAAAGGGCAATTCAAATGCTAATGAAAAATATCTAGCGTAATGTGTTTACAAAAAATGTATTTTAAAGAGACCTAGTTTGTGTGCTTGGTGGAGAAGGGGAGGTTTGGCTTTTCTTTTATCTTGTGAACTGATTCCAGGAAATGCCCAGGGAAATCGGGGAGAAGTGTGAAGGAGAGCTTTTCTAGCACAGGCGGCCGTAGCAGAGGCGCGACTCGGAGGCCCTGGCGGTGCGTGAGCACTGTGTTGCCTTGAGCTGCTTTGCTCTGAGGGCTGGAGTACGCTTACTGCCGACAGCAGTGCTGGAATGCCTTGGCTTGAGAGAGAGAGTGTTCATTGCTGCGATTTGTTTTCCCGGTGGAAGGAAGTTCACAAAGAGAGCGGCTGCTGCAGGGGAAAGATCTCCATCTGGTGGTTACGCTCTGATGGCCTCGGCTGGGTGCCCTTCGGGTACACCCTCTGCAAATGGCATGGCTGCCTGTGTGTAGAATGCTGTGGTTTTAAAGCCTGGATTGTTTGTGGATTTACTTAGGTGCCTTGATGATTGATTAGCAACAGATTTTATAGGCCAGTATTTAAAAAAAAAAAAAAAAAGGCAAAGTGCAAACCAAAATTTTTAAAATGTGCTTCAAGGTAAGTGGTAGAAAGCTGTAGAGTAGCGGATACTTCATAGCCTCTGACTGTGTCTGGATTTAGACAAAGCTGAAGGTTACCTTCTTGATCGCATATAGTCGAACGTCTGCCATGGCATCGCGCCGGGCAGGCAGAGTAACTGTGCCTCTGAAAAGCGAGTTGTGTGCTGTTCAGATGACCGTCTATAGAGTTCTGTGCGAGTTAGGCTCAGCTGTCTCAGTGAAGGAGCTTCTCCAGCTGTTTCCCTGGAAAACTTGCTTGGTAGGATGTGACATGGTCACCCTTGCCCTGACTCTTCTCTGCCTGCAAGATTTCATGTAGTTGTAGTGCAACTTAGGTCTGTTCTGTTGTGCCTTCAACATCTTTTTTTCAAGTGAAGCGTTTTTCTCTATTATGTTCCTAACATTGCATTTTTATTGACTTTGCAAATAAAAACCAATACAAAATGGCATGATACTCTTCTGTTAGTTGTGTGAAACAGTGTAACTTCAGTTGCCTGTTTGCAGTGCTCGCTGTTGTGAAATGCCTTTAAGACTCTGACCACAGATGATAGGTCTGACCCGGGGAGGGCGCAGCTGTAGGGAGCTCGGTAACCGCTGCGGTGGCTTGTTTCGCCTCCGCTGTCCCTGTGTGACAGCACAGCAGCCGGTACAGGCCAGCCTGCAGTGGGGGGTTGGGGTTTTGTTTGTTTTTTATTAACCATAAGACCTAGTAGTGGTGGATTTAACTCTCTCCAGCTTGTTGGAATATCACATACTGCTTCCTTTAAAATAAATGTGACCATTATAATGCTTTAACGTATGTCTTCGGTCTGCTCTCTGCGTAGTCGGCATTGAAGATGTTTAGCATCGAAGACAGAGGAGAATGCAGGTGCCTGCATATGCATACCTGTGTGATGGTATTTAAAAGTTTTTTTTAAAGTGTTGTAGTATGAACTGATTGGCATTACCAAAACAATTAGCGAGTAATTTAGCAGGTTTTCTAGCTGCTTAATAGGTCAAGTGTATCATATATACTACTGTACTACTTACTTTCATTGTATAATATTTATTATTGGCTAATTCTTATATTAACACATAGTTGAGGGGAACAGAGAGGTATAGCATAGCCTGGTCATTTCAGCTGAAACTCGGGGCAGAAAGGCCAGGGTATTTCCAAAGGGGCTCTCAGGACAGAGCAGCCAGCGCTGGAAAATGCTGCAGCAGCACTTTAGCCGGGCTTTGGAGGGGCAGGTGCAGGCAGGGCTGCCGGCTGCAGGAGCCACAGTGCCTGCCCTGTTTAACTCACACTACAGAAAGTAAGATGGGAGCAAGGGACTAGGTGTTGTGGGTTGCTTTGCTTTGCTATTTGTTTTTTCTGCCCTCAGAGAGACAGAATGTTTGCTTCTCTGGTGGTGTGAGGGGCAGAAGGTAAACCTTGGCTACCGGCGGTGGCTGCGCGGGACGGTCGAGCAGGCTCCAGGTGCGAACGTGTGCAGGTACGTGCACACAGGGGTTGTGTTGGAGGCTGACATCAACTCTGGGTTTGGATTTGCACAGGTAGCTGCAAATATGGGGAACTGCCATGCAGTAAAGTAACCAAATAATCGGGTCTCTCAGTGTGCAGACATAGAGCAGCAGCTGTCACGCTCTGGCCACCCTGCTGGGGTTCTGGTCCCCAGTCTGCACCCAGTAAAGAGGCTGAGGCTGAGTTACCCTGTGGGAGAGGCCCAGGAGGAGCACTGGGAGGTAAGATGGTTCCAATGCACGAGGGTATCACAGCTCCCCCACCTTTTTCATGACTCCTTTTGGGGATTTGGGTTTGTACACAATGACTGTGTTCTCCCCTTCTTTACTGTGTAAGTATCGCATCAACTTGGAATTGGCAAGATTCAGGTCAATCATTTCGTTGTACAGAGAGGCAGCATACAACAGGTCTGCTTTACATATTTTATTTGCCAACATGACAAACTGAAATAGAATGAGATATTAATCTCCTTCGCTAAATTAAACTGTTCATACACAAGATTACTTTCCTAATGCCAGATGAGAAAAGTAATATTAACAGTTGCACTGATTGTCATGCTTCAACTTGAATTTTAATAGAAACATAGTTTAGGTCATTTTTTCTTAGTGCTTAAAAGCTCATCTACCCTTAATGTCTTATCAGGAAAATCAGAAATGTAATTAGCACAATGTCACTTATGTGCTCAAGTTGTTTATTTTTTTAGATTTAAGAAGTCTGCAAAAAGTGTACCTACCACAAACTGTACTGTGCATGGCACCTTAGCTGTAGCGAGGAGGTAACTAGCACCACCTGGTCCAGCCCTTCCCGCGGTGGCAGAGGCGATGCACCCTCTGACCGGGCACTGGCACCGGGCTGAGGTCAGGGACTTCTGCCTCAGTGCTGTCTTCCCACCCCCAGAAAGAAATAAACCTGTCTCTTTTACTCATCTTCCAATTTTAAACAAAATCCCAACTTTATAGTTCATGTCTTTATAGCACAAGGTAATATTTTGGAAAAAATCCAACTCTTAAAACATTCATCTTCTGAATATCAGCTTCAAAATAAAAACCAGGGATGAAGAGTGCAGACCAATTCTGAGACCATACATCAACTATAGGCATATTATACTCCCTCCCCACTCCCCTAAAACATAACTAATTATCTAAGGAATGTTACTGATGACCTTAAAAACAACAAAAAAACCAAACAAAACAAAACCAACTGAAAACAAAGTACTTGTGCAAATGGAAAGAGCAAAAGGATGATGCTAAATGACCTCTGCTGTATTCCACCAGTCAGCCAGGTTCTCCTCAGTTAAAACCTTTCCATTCAGTAATGACTGACCTGCCAAGCACTTGCTATTCATGACCAATTACAAAAAACAATACAAAAGGGAGGATGATGTTTTGAGATATAAAGCTGTTTTAACCGTTTTGTAAGTGTGAAATCTAAAAGTCTTTTATTTAAAAAATAGCTCTTCACAGATTCTTCTTGTATCCTCTGGGGATGTGACGCTGTGGCCTTCTGTTCTGGAGTCTGTGAAAATTTCATAGTCATTCCCTCCCTGAAAGCAGAAAAGGAAAAAAGCATTAGAGGATTTAATTTTACTTAACTTAAACGTATAGTCACAGTCTTGGGGTGGAAAAGGGACACACAAAGGAAATTAGAGAAAGAAGGGACAGTAACAATTATGGAAGGAAGGGACTTTTTACAAGGGCATGTAGGGATAGGATGAGGGGTAACGGTTTTAAACTGAAAGAGGGCAGATTTAGATTAGCTATAAGGCAGAAATTCTTCCCTGTGCGGGGGATGAGGCGCTGGCCCAGGGTGCCCAGAGCAGCTGTGGCTGCCCCCTCCCTGGAAGGGTTCAAGGCCAGGTTGGATGGGGCTGGGAGCACCCTGGGCTGGGGGAAGGGGGCCCTGCCCGGGGCAGGGGGGTGGGACTGGGGGGGCTTTAAGGTCCTTCTAACCCAAACCAGTCTGTGATAACACAGTCACATCTGAGATGTCTTCTGGAAAGCTAAAAAAACCTGTGACCCACCATTTTGAGATTTTGCATAGTGAGCTTATAGCATGCCTGTGCTGAAATTGCTGCTGCCCACCACCACCCCATGCACGAGAGTGGCCTGACCTGCACGTTAGCCATGGTAATGAAAGAGCAGAACTCGCAGTATATGTTTAGCCATGTTTTGAGGTTTGTATAGCAACCCAGTATTGACTTTTAAAAATTGCTCACTTGTTAACATGAGGGTGTACGGCTTCTTACAGAACACTATACCAGCATGTGCTATTTGTAACTTACTTGCATTATCTTCTTCCTTCCAACTTGTTTTTCTTTCCTTTTAGTTAAATCATTAAAGGCTGTTGATCCTTTGCTCCTGCAGTAGTGTTTTGGCCTTGCTAGCTACTGGTCTGACGTGACATTCATAGCTGGTTTCTAACCACAGGAGAGCAATGAAACACCCTTGTACAGCTGGCTGAGAGAACAAAGGCACTGCCACCTGCCTGAGCAGAGGTCCCTGAAAGCAGCAGCTTTGTGCACTACAGGAAGCAGTAACCTCATTCTTGTACATCGTTTGCCACCCTGCCTTCCAGTGAGTCAGCAGCAACTCTTGCTACTTCAAATCTCAGAAAGTTCTGCACTGCCAATTACAGGGTTGAAAATCAACTGTCCATAAACTCAGTACTAGATGGACTGGTGATTACGACAGGTGATAACTTCAGCTGGTGGCAAGAGGTAAAAAAACCCTTTAAATTAAAGCTTGTCTTTTCCTTATAAAACTTGGCCTTTTAAAATTTATAAGCTATAAAGTTTTTTGTAACTTAGAGTTTTATAAGAACTTATAAAACTGTAAGCCTATTCCTACGCAACTTAGCCTGATGCCATCCCTTGGCCCTGTTCAGACAGCTCTGATTTCATCCACAGGATTATTTATCATTTCAGTTCCTCCAAGTGAATGCAGACAGAGCAGTTAGCAAAGGAACAGTATTAAATTCAGTGGAAAATAAATCTGCTTAATAAACACCAGCCAACAAGAAGCATCAATCTATACTAACCAAACAGGCTCATCAGTTTTACACAGTCATGTCACCTAGGTTTTTAGCATAATTACAGAAGTTCAGTTTAAGAACACGCTCTATCAAATCTGAACCATGTGTTCACTTCAGGAAACAGAAGAAAAATCTCTGCTCGTGGCTATCTCCCAGCATTATGCTGACCAGTAACGCACAGCCAGTTAAACACAGACACATATTTATAGTCTGACCTCAATTCCTGTCAGGCATAAGGCAACTGGTCAGAACCTACAGTGCCTGTGCTTTAAAACAGAAGCTCTGATACAAAACAACATACTCACTGGCATAGTCTTATCTCCAAAGAAATAAATAGTCTCGTATCCATCATCGGCAATGACTCCCAGGCAGTACCTCTTATCCCAGCCATCTGGGAACACATCGAAGCTTATCTGGCCTCCTGGGGTAGAGAGGAACCAAACAAACTTTGTATTACAAGAACCCATGTCTGAGGGGAGAGTAAGTGAGAAAACGTAAACTGGGTAAGATTCTTGGTAGAGGGAGCTTTGCAGAAGTCACAGAAATTTTATGAGACCCTGGAGTTTGTTTTATAGGGTATCAGTTACTACAGTTTTGAGTCACAGATTTATTATTTACCCATTAAATAAATGTGAGAGTCTTAGCATGTTCTCAAGCACTCACTGCTCTCAAACGGAACGTTTTTGTAATGATTACACTTAATGTTTTTACTTTTAGAAAGAAACTACATGAATGAATACAGACATCAGTGTATGGACAGCCACAAAATCTTATGCAAAAGACTTTCAGAATAGAAAAAGGAGGAAATCAGGCTTTTTAACACAGCCTAACAGGACAACAACTGTTCCATGTCTGAATCCTTGGACTTAAAAGTGTGATCCCCAGTTGAAGCAGGTGTCAAAAAGGTATTTACAACATGCTTTAGGAGAGCGACATCGCAGTTCACTCCTGCCTTAGTGTTTCATTGCCACAGCACTAACAGCAACCATACTTTTTAATAATTTTGAAAAATAATAAAAGGCAAGAATGTGGTAATATATTGGGGAGAGGGAAAAAAGAAAAAATGCATGGAAAATTAGTTCCTGCTTATTATAACTTTTCTCTTTAAGCTTGTACTTGCTTTTGGATTTTCTTTCCTTCCTCCTACACAATGCAACTACAGAGCTGAAAAACCAAGGGAACAGTACTGATGTAGTATTTCTGATGAAAATTGATTTGCAGAAACAACTCTGACTAATCAGAAGCATGTAATATGTTTCAAAATGAGCAGAATCAGTCACACAACTGACATTAGAAGACAATGAGCTGATGACAAGCAATGAAGTTCTCTTTGTTGATGGATTTCAATTAAAATATACCAAATGCCCAAGGGGAAAAAAAAGAGGCTTAGTCCTGCATGTAATGTCTGCAACCACCCCCAGAGAGGTACCTGTCACACCAATGAGATAGGATATGTCATAGCCCTAAGAGGATATGACTGAAGTGAAATTTAAATTAAATGATGTTTTAAATGAAATTCTTGTGTTGTTTACCTATAGAAAATGTGAGGCCTTTTCCTGCAAATTCTCTTCGTAAATCAGCTACGAATTTCTCTCTTATATGTTCCTTCTGTTAAAAAACAAAACAACCCACAAACAAACAAGACCAAACATGAGTTATACACTATGATAATTTATCAATAAAAAGATAACCACCCAAAATACCCCCAAAATATCCAAAGATCTAAGTACCAGGACTAGTGTGATACAGATACATTTTATTATTACTGAAAGCATGATAAGAATATTTCTTTTTGATGTGTTACCAACCTGTGAAAAATGAGAGCAAAACTTCACATATGTGCTGTGATATTTGCTTTCCTGTCTGAAAATCTTTGAATACTAAGGAACTATGGTTCAACTCCTGGCCAAATTCAGTTTGTCAAATGGGGAGACTGTGACATAGGAAGAGTCTCAAAACTGGTACTGATCTTCTAATGCCACATACTCCAAAAAGTGTATTTCCAGAATGCCCTGGGCCTAGATAACTTTCAGCATGAACTGACTGAGCTACAGGCAGACTGCTTTTGAGGAATTAGATTGCAGTTTCTGTATCAGGTCAGAAACAGTTGCTATGGCGCAGCAGGGACCCAAACTCTGATACTGTGGCTCAGATTCATTTCAGCCTCGCACATTTAGCTGTGTACAAAGGAAAATAAATGGTGAATAGTTTGACCTCAGCTATTAAATTCTGCTTTAGAAGGCTTTAAAGAGTTGACAAGAAAAGGAATAGTTTTATTGAGTTGAACGGACATAGGCTGGTATACTGAAGAGAACTGCAACTTAAGTATGGTTTTATCTATGACAGGTTTTTTCAGGAACCCTGTGTGTAGAGGTAGGATGTTCAGTACTCTGGATATCGGGTTAAAAGAAACGTGAGCCAAACCCACCCATTCCACAAGTAATCATTGTTAACTATTGCAACAAAAAAACTATTATATGTTTCCTGAAGTCTGAAGGAAGAAGTTAGTTAGTTAAACCATATGGAAAGGATTAAAGTGAAAAAAGCTGCACAATGTACAAAAGCTTTTAAAAAATCATAACCTGGCCATAATTGCCTCTTCCAGAAGAGTTGGATATTTTTCAAGTTGTAACTCACTTTATCAAGTTCATAGAACTCAACTCGTTCTTCCTGGCTGCAGCTTCTTCCAATGGGGGACACATTTAACATCCCATTTCGGAACTCAATAAAAGTGCCCCTGAAAAAGAATTGATTAACAAGACAGAAGATAGATTGAAAATTGGTCAAAATACTGAGTATCACAATGAACTTCCATTTAATTCTGAAGACAGTGGGAATCAGATGTCTCCTTCAGCCTCTCATTGTACGCATAAAAAAACAAACGTAGGAACCAGTACCTCTGGCATCAAGGAGTCTTTTGGACCGGCAACCTCAGTATCATTCTTGCTGACTTTTAGAAGTATGATTTGGTTTTAAAAGTATGAGTGGAGCATCCCGCCAACCCAATTCTCAGACCCTGGCAGCCCAATCTGTCAGCTTTGGGGTGAAACAGCAAAATTTAGAGCATTCTTGGCAGTGCTTTTAGCTAGCCTCACAGATGGTACATATTAATGTCCTGAGCAGCTGTACCTTCACATGTCACATAGAACTGATCTTGCTGCATGCTTCTCATCTCTGGAAAATGTTATGCTGCTGAATTCCAAACATGCTAGGGAAACACTCCTACTTCAAACTTCCGTCCCTCTTAAATAAAAATGCTGAATCGGTATTCAAATCCTGGGTTCCAGCTGTGAGCTTGTCTTTGTATGCATGAATTGAGCTCTGTTTCACGTATACAGTGTTCGTAACACACAAATTACTCATTTTTTGCTGAGCAGCCTGCTTTGTATCTTGATGCTCAACACTGTAACATGGAGAATATGGTGACACTGAGATGTGTGTATGAACATACCTTTTCTTTGGCAGTTTAATCTTCGCAATGTAACTCAGGCAGTAGTTGATTACATCTTGAAGTATGTCCTCACCCAGGTGACCCTGAATGTTCTAACAAAATAAACAGCATTCAGCCAAGGGTCCAGAATTTGAGATTCTAACACCAAGTTACATGGAAAACACAGACATTGGGTAATCAGGCATTGTTAATAGCACAAAGAAATATGCCTTCCATAAGTAACTCGCAGCTGATGCGCACATGGTATTAACTAAAGGTTCTCAATTTTCTTTTTGTTTACTTTGGGTTTTTTAAACCATAACACCAAACTCTCATTTAATACGCTCCCTACTAGTACCTGCTTTAGAAGGAAACAGCATGGGCCAAAGACAGCAGACCTAAACAAGTTGCAGTTAATGTCTACACAAGCCAAGCATGAAGAAATGGAGATCGTTACTGAGTACACTGGAAACCACTGCTCAAGTCAGCAGTTTCAGCCAAGATCTCTGAAATTTTTGATCTCCATTACTTATGCTGAACCAATTAAGACAGTCAGGGTATCTAGAATCAGATGTACATTTATATTAATTTAGGGTATTTACTTTCTAGCTTATACAACATAACAGAACGTGCACTCTGAATTAACACTAAAAAGCAGCTACAAGAGATCTACAAGAAACTTTCTGAACCCTAAGACCTGACAGACATCAGCTATGAAATGACCTGTTCCATGCCATGCCTCCAGGAGCAGAAGGCTTGGCCACATTTCCTATAGGTAAGCTGTTCCTATGGGAAAGGCTGTTCCAGGATTTTCACTGTTCTTATTTGATCAGACACTCCGGACTCTCAGTAGCTTTTGGTGTGGAGAACACAAAGAATAAGGTGCAGGTTGTCATTACGTGAATCAGAACGCCAAATGAATGATCTGCTACAGAAGTAATGCATGAAATCAGCAGCAATTTTGGCATGAGTTAGAAGAATGATCACAGAGGACAGCAGTGTAGCCACAAAACAAAATCTTGTTTAGAAAATTTCTCTTTTGCGTTACTGGATATTTCACATTTACCTGCTTGCTCAAGAATTTCCCATCTTTGTATGCTACAAGACCATTTTCTGGAAAAACGTAGTCAAATTTTTCAACCACTAGAACCAAACAAAAAGACAGTAACTTGTAACTTCTCCTGTATGTTTAATGCAGATTTGTCTTACACATTAAATAAGTTAAAATTCAGCAAACATCAGATCACAAAGCATGAAAGATTCAGCAGCAGAACACTGAGCACAAGATCAAAGCCACTCCCATTTCTCTCCAAGATTAACACACACCTCAAATCCCATGAAGTCTTCCCGTTAAATTACCCGTCATTTTGCTCAAAAGCTCTTCCTTTCCTGCAAGTATGCCTCTGCATTAAATGTAAGGAAGTGACTGGAGACCTCAAGTATTACAAAAGCCTGACACACAACCTGGCTAGAGGGCAAATCAAACACTACCACTGTAGGTTGGTTTTCTCAACGTTACTAACTTACAATAGATGTCCAAGAGTTGTGAGAACCTTGCTACAATGCAAGATGTTATGGCTTACTGGAGACCACCCGTAAGCCAAACAAGTTCAGAGTTATTTGGGCATTACAGTAGGCTACCAGTGGCATCACTTAAATAAAGACCATTAAAGATAGTCTTTTATACAGAAAAGGAAATGCCTCTCAAAGGACTAAAGCAAGAGTCCAACTCTGCATTGCAACCCCACAGTCAAACAAGATCAGATCCTTCAGGGATACGCTCGACAACTGAGCAGCCTGCACATGTCTATGGTACATACGTAATTCCATTTTAAAGAGACAACGTTAAAGTGCCTTCCTGAGGTACTGTCACACAGTCAGGATTTCACCACTAGTGACTCTACCTTAATAAGGCACCGAGATGTCTAAAAGGCAAACAGAGGTTGCAGTTTCTAAATGCCTCTCAAAGCTCTTCACAGATTGAGTGAAACACAACAAAAACAGGAAAAAAGTTAAAAGCAAGGAAGGAGGGGAATGAATGGGGTTTAACCTACATTTAACCTTCACGACTTCCCTGTAAGCCATTCAGTGCAAGGGATTGCATCAGCCGCTATCCTTACCGTCACCACCGAGCTGCTCCTTGATCTTTTCAAAATCTGAACCGCCCACGACTCCAACTTTCACCTTCTGACGCAACTTCTGCAGAAATGAGGCCATCTCTGCTGTGATTTTCTTGGTTCCAAAACAGAACAAGGAGACACGTCAGCATTCCTATCGCGAGACCAGCATCTCTGTTTCACAGTAATTACTAAAGACCGGCAATCCTGTCTCGATCTTTCGGAAAAACGGAGGATTTTTTTTCTTTGACTTAACGGGCGAAGCGCGTCTGCACACCCAGCGCCGCGGCAGCGGGCGCGGAAGGCGCTGTGCGGGCACGCCGTGCTGCCCGGCGGCCAGCCGCCTTCTGCCCGCCGGTGGCCGTTCCGCGCCCCGCCCCGCCCCGCCCCGTCCCGCCCCGCCCGCCCAGCGCTCCCTCAGCGCCTCCAGCCGCCCCGGGACTCGCCTGCCGCGGGGCCGTGAGGGTCCCGTCCACGTCGAAGAGGCAGAGCGCGCGGCGCTGCGGCGGCGCCATGGCCCGCGCGGGGCCGCCCAACCGGAGCCGCCGCGGGGCACGCCGGGAGGCGGAGGAACGCGCCCCCGCCCCCAGGGGTGCCGCCCTCTGTCTCCCGCCGTGCCGCGCGGGGGCGCTCGCGGGAGGCGCCGCGCGGCGCTCGGGCGGGGCGGCGGAGCCATGGCGGTGGTGAGCACGCGGCCTCGGCGCCAGGGGGGCCCTGCCGGGGCGGCGGGGGGACGGGCTGCCGCGGGGGGGCCCTGCCGGGGCGGGGGGCCGCCGGGGCGGGGGGGGACGGGCTGCCGCCGGGGGGGGCCCTGCCGGGGCGGCGGGGGGACGGGCTGCCGCGGGGGGGCCCTGCCGGGGCGGGGGGCTGCCGCCGGGGGGGCCCTGCCGGGGCGGCGGGGGCCACGCTTCCCCCTCCGCACCCTCACTCTTCCCTCTCCCCTTCTCCGGCCGCGCGCCCGGGCCGCGAGCGGCTGCGGCCGCCTCACTGGGGAGCGGGCGGCGGCCGCGCGCGGCGCGTAACGGCGGCGGGGCTAGGGGTGCGCGCGGCGCGTAACGCGCGAGGAACGGTCGCGGGGAGGGCGGCGCCGGGCCGGGCTCGCGGGGCTCTGGGCGCTGCTGCCCCGGCCTCGCGCGGCACCGCCCTCCCCCCCTCCCGGCCGCGGCTCTCCCGCACCTTCCCCGGCTCTGCGCCCTCTGCGGGCGTTGCTCACGCTTTCCCCCCGCGCCTTCATCGCGCATAGTCGACTTTTCTCTCTTTCTCCGGAATCGCTATTGAAGCGGTTATGTAACATCTCGCTGGCCAGCGGCCCCAGGTTCCCTTACTCTCTCTGCGTAGAAGCAGCCTGCAGTGCTGGTGCTTTCACTTTGATGTTGCCCCAAAAGAGGGAGAGGCGTGGGATGCCGTAAGGTTACGTTCAGGAAGCTGACTTTGCTATCAACTGTGCATCTGCAGGGAGGGATGCTGGTCTCAATTATAAGGTTACAGTGAGGTGGGGCTTATTATTAGTGTCTTTAGGTGCCAAAGGAGCAGACTCTCAGCTAAATGTGATTCAGTTATAAAGAAGACTCAAATGATGACCTGTGGGAATATTTCCTTGCAGGCTAGGCTCTGCAGAATTAGGACTAAGGTCTGCATGGCACCATCTTTGGGGAGATGTCTACAAAAGGAGCTCTGGACAAGGCCGTGGAAAAAGGAAGATGCTTGCCCACCCTGTTCTTTCAGAACATGGGAGTGTTTGCAGACACGAAACCAGCGAGTTAATGGTGCTAATAATTATCTTGGGAGACAGCGAGAGCCGTCTGTGTGTCTGCACCATTCAGCCCCTGCTGCTGTGGTCCAACAAAAGCCTGTGGATGAGAAAACAGAAGAATTCAAACTGGTGTACCGGTTTCCGGGGATTAGGTATTGCAGGGTGCTGTCCAGGATGAAGCTGTTACAGACTGCCACCACCATGGTCATGCTGCCACCCGTCTGCTACTTCTACCTGCAAGACCAGGTTTCTCAGAATATCCTCTTATATACAACTGGCATTGCGATCTTTGCTGGTGCAATGCTGTATGGTATGAGCTACTTTTTCAGACGCATTATTGGATTAATCTATTTAAGTGAAACTGGCCATACTGTCAGAGTGGCCCACTTGACGTTTTGGGGAAGGCGGAAGGACATTTACTGTCCCATAGAGACAGTGATGACTTTGGATGAAGTTGGAGATAGCAAGGGGGAGCTACTTCTCCAGTTCAAACGCTATAATAGTACAGATATCTTATATTTTACGATTAAGTTTGGCCAGATTGTAGACAGACAGAAGTTTGCTCAAATATTTGGAGAATTTCAGTGATATAGCAGCTAATTTCCAATGATTTTCCTTGTGGCATGTTCATTGTGCTTATTCTTCTGTGAAGTTTAGTTTACCAAACTGACATCTGTCATTTTCCCACGCAAAGCCTGCTGCTAAGTGCACTCAGCATGGAAAGTAAAAATGGTAAAGAAAAATTCACTAGATTAAATGTCTTTGCAACTTGTTTAACTTGCTTGTATGAGCAGCATCTCTTCCATGTCAGATACCATGATGTGCATGGTGTGTTGTCACCAGCAGTCCTGAGTCTGAACCGTCCTACTTGGCATGTGCCGTAGGGGGCCAAATTACCATTGCTGACCCGGACTGCTTCAGCTGGCCTTGTTTGTTCTGAAACAGGAAAAACTCTTGAAGTCAAATGCAGTAACAGTGCCAGAGCGTCCTCACTTTAAATTCGTAGTTTTAGTTTGTTTCTTCAATCTCTTGAACAAATTTAAATTTGTCTTGTACATACATATGATAAATAATGCTGGATGTCAGAGAGATGCATGCTCATGCATTAATGACATTGAGGTAACTGGAAAGAGCAGTATACAGTGCTGTGTGAGGTGGGGGGGTGTCCTGGCAAGGGCTTTAGGATGTGAATGTAACTGGGCAAAACGAGGGTGCGTGCTGCAGGACACACTGACAGTTCAGCTGGAAGGGTAAGTTAAAGGCTGGGACAGCATTTCAGGAGCCTCTCATAGAAATTGCTTTCCCGCTGGAATCAAGGAAGAATGTACCTCAGCTCTGGTGCTGTGAATTACAGGGGCAGCCTGTGATTTGTTGTTTAGATTGGATCCTAATGATCATCTGAAAATTGGGAACTACTTGTCCTTCTTTGCATATTTTCATGTTTGTGTTTGTTTTGCGTGTGAATGACATTCAATCAATGCTGTAACACTTGAGTTGCAAAAACTTCAGTAAATATTACCAAAATTATCTCAGACTATGTGAATTAAGTCGTCTTCTGTGAAGATTACTGTACAGCCTGGGAAACAAGTCATCTGTATCCCTTGCTGTGTTTACTGATTTGGGAATATTTTAACATCAAAAGCTCTGTTGCCAAATACCCTTTCCACTCCCTACTCCCCCAGTCTAGGTTTACCTAAAACGAAGAGAAAAAAGGTAAGACAGCTAAAAGCTACGTTGAATTGGGGCTGAAAATACACGTACTTTGTATTCTGTTGAACTTGCAGGTTGGTCACCTCAGCACCTGTGTCTGGGAAGGGCAGTGGTCTTATTCTGTGGCCTTAGTACAATTCCCTCTTTTCCCAAATCTCAGCAGAAATGAGGAGCAGGATTTAAACCCAAGAAAGAATCAAATCTGATCACTTGAAACATGTCAAACTTTTTCTGAATTGTCAGAAGCAAGTTAACTCCTTGCACTGCTCTTCTAGCTGTTACTTCATTTGAAACTGGCAAATAAACTGACCCTCACCAACAGAGAAATGCAGAGTGGTGTTCTCCCTGTTTCTTCCTCACACGTATTGAAACCTCCGTCTCTTGGTGGATTGGCAGATGCAGGTAAGTAAAACTGCCATGGTGCTAACCCCAATTTACTATTTATTCGTGTTGAACTTTTCCTAATGGTGGCTCCATTATTTTAAATTTTGGCCGATACTGTGTGGTACAGCAGCATCTAAAGGAAAAGAGAAACGGTCCTTGGCTCCAACACCATGGCAGCAAAATACATTGGACTGTATGCATGCAGCATGTTTTGTGGAGGCTTATCTTCATACAAGTGTATTTAATATGCACTAATGATTCAGTTTAGGTGTGTACTAGGTGTAAAATAAAAAGCTCTGGAGAAGTTCAATTATAAATATTTTATTTAAGAATATTGATTACACATGAGATGTAATTTGTTATGAATCTGTGTACAGTTACTAGTTACACCATGAAGTGTAGTTAAGTACTTGTTTAAACATTTATTTGGCACTGTCCACAGTATGTTGTAAACAATATTAACTTTATATGCTTCAGCTGCAGTTCTATGTATTCTCTAACATGATTTCATCAACGTGTTGTACACAATTATACAGTTACTGACTGTCAGTAAAAATTATAAAAACACCTAGAGTATTCATAATAAAAGTGAAGATGGGGTAAGACTTCAAATTACTGGACCTTTGCTTCTGTAAAAGTACAAGACTGGCTAGAGACATTTACTAGAACTACTGCACTGATATGTTGAACGAACTGAATTCCCAAAATGCTGTCAAATACAGTTCTCTGACTTTCCTCTTGCTGATAATATGCTTCCGAGGACAGTGATGACGGTGAGGTTTTGCTGAACACCAGTTTACCAGTCCTTCCCCCCACTTTCTACAACCTCTGTTCAAAAACCTGCTTGGGTTCTGACCAGCTGGTACCAGAATTGTGGTTTCTGCAGAGAGGCTTACAGAAATCCCATTGTTTCTAAGCTAGCAGAAGTGAGTGCACTTGAGTTTCCCAATACCAGCACTCAAAAAATATAATGGGAGAACAGTGATTAACACTTCTCAAAGCAGGTAAGACACCTTTCACGTTTTGGTAGCTGTAGTGAATGTGTAAATATTTTACCTGCTCTGTCTCTTACTATGTACTTAAAAATTGTCAGATCCTAATAGGGCAACTGTAATGTCCACTGTGGTTCCTGTTTTTTGGTGCACAACATAAAGTTAAACTTAGTAAGCAAAATCCAGATGCTTGCTGGCAAAGAAAAAAAAAACAGGCATCAGACTTAGTTCAAGTCAGCCTTAAGCAAACAGAAAAGAGTACATAGTAAAGAGACATCCAGAACAATTCTCTGAAGAGAAACAAATTAATGAACTGTTGACACTTTGATCCTGTGGCTTTCTAGAAGATCTCTGGAGTATCACTGATTTAAAATAAACTATTAGAACAAAAATAGAATTATTTGCATTATAAATGTGCAGTTAGGACTAGGCCTTCACTGTAGTGGCTCTGATGTCAGGTAATGGTTAAGATCAAGCTATTCTGCTGTAGTTTTACAAAATACCTCAAGTATTCATGTAGAACTTGTAATAGATAAATTAATGGCTATTGTGTGTAATGGCCAAATGGTAAAATAATCTCAGATCATCCTAGATTGCTGACAGAGGTCGACATAATGTGCCTCGTGATTCCTTGAGACTTGTCAAATTACATACTTCAGGGTATAGTTTTCTCTGTACAAGTCCGATTGTAAGAGAAGTCAAAATTTTTAAAATTCAGGATGAGGAAAGAAGTACAACTACTTCAGTTCCCCTCAGAGCGTGCTGCACATGTGGCTGAGTGTGGGAGTGCCTCTGAAGCAGTACATTGGGCTGAAGGCTGAGCAGAGTAACCGACAGCATCCTGATCCAGCTGGGGGGACAGATGGCTGTATTCAAGGGAATACAGCTGGAAATTATTCTTTAAAGTACCCTACACGGCAGTGGTGGAAAGCAGAGCTTTCCTTGAAACACTGATTTTATTCCAGCTGCCATTAGAGAATGGCACGTTCTGTCTGGCAGGCATGTGGCTTTAAGTGTTAGGCCATACTTGTTGCTGCTTCTGGACACAAGAGTAAATCCGCTGGGATTAGCTGTGAAAACAGACTGTACCAGGTCCTAGTCAGACAGTCAAATAGTCAGGGCCATGAATGTAGAGAGGACTCTGCAGTTAACGTGACCCAAGCCAGAAAAGGGAGGGCCACAGCTTCTACAAGTGCACAGTGTGGGACAGCTGCAGGTACCTGCTGGTGACCAGTACCAATGCTCTGCCTGTCGAGTTTGCATGGAGCAGCTTGCCTTGGGCAGGATTACAGACAGAACACAAACCTTAGTTTATGACTTTACACTTATCTTGTAAGTAGAGAAGACATGAATTAATGCAAACTAATTTCATAATCAGCTGTTCAGCGCGAGGGAACTGCTTTTTACTTGAAGTTTGCTAAGATGTCACTGAAAATGTTCAGAAAGAGGTGCGCGTGATGGTCCCTGAAGATCAGTGTTGGACGAAAACGAATCGATCTGTCGCCACAGCCTCCCAGCACAACACCTAAATCGAGAACAGAATAGGTCCTCTAGTCATTGCCATCTTCACCAAATATCCAGAAAATGCAGGTCTGCACATGAGGTTCAGGTTCACCTCACTGTGGAGGGGCAGCAGCAGCTCCCCAAATCAGTGCTAACCACACTGGGGTACAGCACACCGTCAGTGGTGCAGAGGGGCCTCAAGCTTCTCGGCAGCTCAGAGGAACACTGTGGGTGCTTGTGGCTGTTCCGTGGAACATGGGGTATGCTGGCACCAACCCCAACATCAGTGGAAAGCCTCCACCTGGTGCAGAGCTCAAACAGCATCTGAGACTTCAAAGCTGCAATACTCCACTGGTTAAGTACCTCAGTGCCAGAAGAAGACACAGTAGGTTTCTTTGCAATTTTGTTTTTAAAGTTCTTTGGTTTTAATTAGAAAAAAAAATCTCAACTGCTGGCAAACTTATTTCTGCAGAATTTTAAATGCCTGGAATTTTTTTTTTTTTTACTCCAAAATCAGTTAATTCTTTGAAATGTTTATGGGCAACAAGAATCTGTACCATCGAGCTGAGCTTACTTTGCCTCTAAGCATAGCCTTGGTTTACCATGAAACAAAGCCCTTGCCTTCTCTCTCTGCTGGCTTAGTTTCCAAGAACAAAAAATACCAAAGTCTTTTACACTCTTAATGTTTTTAGTTTCGCAGTAGTGTAGATGCATCATGCCTGTGTCTTTCAAGGGATGCAAGTAACAGCAAAAGCTGACAGCAGCAATCCCAGGGCCCACACACAGTTAAATTCCCCTCCTGATACCCAGGCTTGTTACAGCTGGGTGAGAGTTCTGTAGGAAGAGAGGTGTAATTGTAGATCTGTGTCCATTTTAGGCAACTCATTATAGTTCATTATAAAGTATTCCATAAAATTAATAGTTTTTTTTTTCCCTGAGTGACAGTTACATTAACTTTCCTCTAATTTTCCTGACCTGTTCCTAGAAGTAAGCCATCCCTAGGTGCACCTGAGGTCACTGCAGAGGAGTATGAAAGCAATGTCACAAAAACTTATGCCCTACAGAGATTGCTTCCTATAATGTTAGACCTACAGAAAAAGGTAAATGTACACACCATGCAATGGACTGGTCTGATGTCTCTGAAAATACAAGTATTTCCATAAAAGTCTAAACACAGCTTTGTTTGCAATTTCACTTCTGTCCTCTGATGCTGTAGTACACATACACCATATGAAAAAGGAAAATTTAAAGCATTATATGTGCTGCTGTTTGTCATTTGAAGCTAATCCGCACACACAAACTTTCTTACCTTTGTTTCTGGCTATTGTAATTAACTTGTTTCTAGTAGCATCATTTGGAGTGTCAAACGAACAGAATGTTCCTCTTCCTCTCACTCTGCTGATCAGATGGGGGTACCGGGCCTGCAAGGAGAGGGGGGAAGCACACATGGAGAGGGGGGAAGCACACATGGAGAGGGGGGAAGCACACATGGCAGCTGCTGCACCAGGGGGCCCCGGTGCCCGGCCCTGCGCCGCCAGGCCGGGCGTCCTGCCGCACCCAACCCGCTGCCGCCGCCGCTCTGCACCACAGGCTGGATTTCTCACGCCACCCGGCGTCCTGCTCCCCCGCTCTGAGCAGGGGCAGGACAGCCCCAGACTGCAGAGCCCAACAGCCGGCTGGTTCTCTCCTCGCAGAGCAGATAAACATCTGAGCAGGGAGTGAGAATGAATTTGCATGGGTCGGTGACTTGCTGGGACAAGCAGGGTTTTACTTGGGGCCTCCTGAAGCGAGCGTAAAGCACCTTACACATACCACTCACTCCTGGAAAACCTGAGCAGAAGTAATCTGAAACGGGGCTAGAAACCGGCTCGGTTCTTACACTGTACTAAGACACTCACTAGTATTACTTGCTTCACTTACTATCAGTTACGATCCTTG